TGGGCCGGTGGGGCAGCCCCGGAGCCCGGGGGAAGGTGTGTCGGAGGCAGGACGTTCACTGCTGCCCGTTCCCTGCCTGTACCCCTGCCTGTACCTTTGCTTTCCTGGGCCGTGCCGCTGGGCTGCACCGCGGTTGGTTTGCGCTCAAATCTATTTTATTTTTATTTATTTCCCCACCCTCCCTTAGGAACAGCTCGGAAGCCCAAACGACACGGCCAGAAATACACCCAGAGGAGCGGGGTGCGCACCTGCGGGCTGTATTTCTTGCAGGCGGCGAGCAGGTCCAAGGCAGGGGATAAACCATTTTGTTTTGCCGGGCAGAGAAGGAGAAGGAGCCGGTAACGTGGCTCCAGCGCATCCCGCCATAGCACTGCCCCTATAGCAGCCCAAGTTCCTTAAAGTTCTTTAAGGCTTCAAAATAACAGCACCATCGCCTGGCAGGTGAATTATTTAGTGCCTATAGATTCCTCGCAGACCCTTTCATTTCAGTTCCAAATCTTCCCCAGCCCAGCCTTTGCCTATGGATGTCTCGATTTTACAACAATCAAGCGGGAGGCAAAGAGCGTGGCAATTTCTGCTAATCGATTTTCCATACAATGGGCCCCAGATGATGTTTTAAAATGTGAGAAACTAAAATGTGTTGGTTTAAATAAGACTTTTGCAATCAATAGCTTTTAAAAAAAGAGACTTTGATACCGGTTCTTGAAGGGGATTCAAACGCTTTCGCTTCCAAAACAAAACAAGGCAGGAAAAAAACCCAGCCACGCCGGAAAAGTTCCTCCCGGATTTGGGGTTATTAAAGCGGGATATGGGGAAAAACGCTTCGGGGGGGAGCCGCCCCAGGACCGAACCCCCCAGCCCCGCCGGTTCCCTTGCGCGCCCCCGCCCCGGGGCTCCGCGCGGTTCCGCGCTGCCTCCGCGTATCCCGGGCCGGCCGCGGGCGGGGGCAGCCCCGCACCTCCCGCCGTCCGCCCCCCCCTCCGGTCCTCCGGCTTCTTCGGCGTTTTCGGGTCCGTTTTGCCCTTCCCCGATTTCCCCGCGGCGCCCAGCGCTGTTGCGCCGGGGTTTGTGGCGCTTCGGGAAGGAATCCAACCGGGAAAAAACTCCGGCCCTTTCCCCATCGACCTTTTCCTTTGCTTAAAATCC